CACAGGGGGACCTCGCCTCAGCCACAAGCCAGGCTGCCAGCTGCCAGCGCAGCAGTGGTGGTGGGAGCCTCTCCTGCCTCCTTAGCAGCGCTAAGGATGTCTGACTGCAGCTTAGGCCTGCTCCCAACTGGCAAGTGGATATCCCCCGAGGGCTGCCGGGCTGCCAGAGGGATGCCTGACTGTCAGCTTAAGCTCAGTTCCCCGGGGAGTGGGCCTAAGCCAGCATGTGATCATCTCCCTAGGGGTTCCATCATGTAATCATCTCCTGAGGGCACAGGCCGGGCTGAGGGGACCCCCCCGCCCCCCAGTGCACAAATTTTTGTGCACCGGGCCTCTAGTAGTCATATTTACATCCATATGGTCTTATATTTATGTCCAATTCTTATAGGAAAACTAAGTCTTGATTGGTTTGTTCATTATTTGGTTTACGAAGTATCTAGGACCTTTTGTTTCTTCTTACCCGATTTTTTGGCTCATTTTTCTGTTCAAAATCCTTCACCAAACAAGTGTTAGTAAATTATCAGAGGAAAATAAGAAAGGAGAGGTGAGTACAAGAACAAATTGAAGAAGGAAGATAGGACAAGCATTCTGCCCATTCTGCCTATGACTTTTTCCATTAGCACAAATAATCAAGAATTAGAAATGGCTTCTATAAATGCATAGGACTTGAAAGTGGTTGCTATAATAATCTCGTGCTCAATAATTTAAATGCTCTATTTATATAAGTAAATATAAAGTAATCAGGTATTTTATATAATCAAGTTTTATAAAATTTATGTCAACATTTGATTTTCTGGTTTTGAAAAGCTATCTGTTGTTATGTCGGTTGATTTTCTATTATATTTGGTGCTTTTAACATATGGTATCACAAAAGTTTGTTTTCTTTACTTTATGTCATTTTATCCTACAAAGTGTGATTGTCGTCTTGTGAGACTTAATGCCATCGGTAAATTGAGGGCCCATTTACCTACTGAGAAACACATAGAGACTCCTTGATTTACTTTTATTTTCTATCCCGTGGTTAATATTTTTAAAAATATTTATTAATTAAATTGATTGGGGTGACATTGGCCAATATGAACATATAGGTTTCAGGTGTGGGTTTCTATGTTACAAGATCTGTATATTGCACTGTGTACCCATCACCCAAAATCAAATCTCCTGTGACCTTATATTAACCCCCCTTCCGCCCTTCCCTCTGGCTACCACCACACTGCTGTTTGTGCTCATGAATATCCCATGTTCATGAACTATATGAGTGAAATCATATAGTTCTTAGCTTTTTCTGACTGAGTTAGTTCACTTAGCATAATGTTCTCAAAATATTTTTGATTACTCATAGCTTTAGATAAGTTTAAATAACACTTAGTCACAGTTTTCGTAGTGCAATCTATGAAAATATGAACATTTTTTACTGTGAGTAGTAATGCTCATGATAATGCTGTAGAACATTGTTTTAAATAGTAAGTTATGTCCTTTTATTGTTTCACATTGGAAGCAGATGTGTAAGTATTACATATTTTTTGACTATTTTATTTTGTGCCATATTTTAGTTGCATAACTTAACGACTGCACATTATATTCTTTTCCCCCCCCAGAAAGTCAAATAAAGAAAACCACTTTACCTTTTGATAACTACAGCAACATGAGTGAAGATCTTAACATGGAAGTAGTTTTAGGACACCCTTCAAAAAATGTGTCACTGGAAAATGAAAAAAGTCAATTACATTCCAGGAAAAAACGGTTTTTATCATATCCAAGATACGTGGAGGTTATGGTGACAGCTGACGCTAAAATGGTTCATCATCACGGTCCGAATTTGCAGCACTATGTACTGACTCTGATATCAATTGTAAGTAAACTGAAGTCTTTTCTGTTTCCTAAAATGTTTGACGTAATATTTTCTCACATTTGATTTTTAAAGTTTTCCCAAACAAATTGTACCTAGGTTTAAGGAAAAAATAATTAGTTAAATTTAGTTTATTTGTATAACAAGTATCCCATTCTGTTAATTGGATGGCTTTCTAAAACATAAAATTCTTTGAAGCTACTAGTACTTATAGAAAATGCTTGATTTACTTTATCACATGAATGGCTTCTGCCCCCTAGTGACCGGGAAGATCTTTTGCCCTTGAAATTGGAATTTTAAAAATTTTACTCTATTTTTGCACAGAGGGGAGGGTATGTTATTTTTACTACTGACACATTGGCCAAATCAGAAATTAGAATACATGACATTTTAAAAGGGCAGGCTATTACTAATAGAGCGGCCTTAGCAAATTTGAGATGTAAGACCACGGTAGCTATAAGAATCCCGTATCTATCTCTGTTGTGCTGCGGTGGTGCCCAAATTCTAATACCAGTGAAGATACCATTTCTGCCGTGAAGAGTCTGGCCCTTCCAAGGCATTAGGGGTGAGCTAATTAAATGTTTGACCGAATATAGCAGGCTAACTTTTAAGTTGGTAATTTTGTATGGCCCTCACCCCCCCCAGATCCATAATGAAGGTACTCCTATATATATGTATATGTATATATATGTATATATATATATATATATGCACATATCCACTGTTTAAGGCATTTTTAGGTTTAGGCCTGCTATTTTGGAGTGATCATTCAAAGCACCCTCTTTTCATGCTCATGAGTATCCTGGCTTAGTTGATGACTTATATGGTCACTTATTTATACAGATTCAGGGTATTCGAACATCTCATAGCTGGAAATACCTTTACTCACATATAGGAAATTTAGGCCCACTTGGTTGAAAAGATTTGTCCAGAACATATTTGTAGGCCATTGTCAGTTTCTCTTTGCTAGAAATATCCAATTAAGTTCATTTTGACTTAAAGATCATAAGACCCAATTATTTTTCTTACATAAAACGTTTTATCTTAAATTCTTATAAGTACTAAGTATAGATGGTCTATGTTGCCTAAACACAATATCTGGTACAAAATGGGCACTCAATAAAAAATTATTGAAAAAACATGAATGAATAAGTAATTAAAATAATGCATCCCCCCCACCCCCAACAATGCATCTCTTCATATATAAAAAGCTAAGTGATCAACTGTATGACCATACAACCAACTGACCGGTCAGTACATAAGGGGGCGCACTGGCAATTTAAAAATAAACATTGATGCCCTGACTGGTTTGGCTCAGTGGATAGAGCGTCGAACTGCGGACTCAAAGATCCCGGGTTCAATTCTGGTCAAGGGCATGTACCTTGGTTGTGGGCACATCCCCAGTGGGGGGCGTGCAGGAGGCAGCTGATTGATGTTTCTCTCTCATCGATGTTTCTAGCTCTCCATCCCTCTCCCTTCCTCTCTGCAAAAAAATCAATAAAATATATTTTTTAAAGAAATAAACATTGACTCGCGCATGTGTGATACATATAAAGCTCTTGCTGTTGCCAATCGCATGCGTGTTTTAATTTTATAATACTACTAGAGGCCTGGGACACGGATTTGTGCACTGGTGGGGTCCCTCGGCCTGTCCTGTGCTCTCTCGCAATCCGGGACCCCTTGGGAGATGTCGAAGAAACAGTTTTGGCCCAGTTTCCACAGGCCAGGCTGAATCCGTGCACCGGGTCTCTAGTATGCATATAAGATGCATATAAGATCTTTGGTTAATCTCTTCCCATCCTCCCGCCTTCCCACCTCCCTCTGAGAGTCGTCAGTCTGTTCCATGTTTCCATGCCTGTGGGTTGAGTGTCTTCCCCCTTGTGGTCATTGTGCATCATAGCTACTGGTCGGTCAGCTGGTTGCTTAGGCTTTTATATACCAGTATATAGATATTATATATACTATTTTGACGTAATTTTTTGCAATAATGTAATTACCACATGAATCTTCTAATTA